TTATGTTGATTGAATAGAAAACACAAATGCTTTCAGCAAAGAAAATTGTTTTGTTTTCATGTATTTGGCTTTACAAGCCTTCAGTGATGTTGAAGCAGCTCTTCTGTCTTATGACCGTCTTGTACCCCCTAGCGAATTAAATGTGACACAGCTGAAGCTACCGGAGAACTTTTGCAGAAACCCAGATAAGAGCATTGAAGGCCCTTGGTGTTTTACAAGAGACCCAACAGTCAGGAGGGAATCCTGCAGCGTGCCAAAATGCGGTAGAGAAATCACTAAAACATTACAGTAAAATGTCCTGTGGTGCAATAACTAAAGCACTGTGCTGGCAACCAGAAAGTTGAGCCATCACCGTTGTGTTGCTGAACCAGGTTGCTCAGAGGAAATTGTTGCAGTAGTAAGTGTACTGGATGTAGTTTTGGATCTGCTAAATGACTGCTGACTTACTAAAACATGCCTATTACCATATTTGATAGCAACTGACACATATTTGTGCCCTGTGTTTATGGCACATTTTATGCTTCAGTGTAAATACATAAAAAAAGTTTCTACATGCCCATTCCATCATTTATGCTGGCCCACCTGCCCTGATCATCTCACTCTTTCCTCCTCAGGTGAGACTGTTGTTGCCCCTCCTCGACCACCTACTGTGAAACCTGAAGAGCGTTACCTGAAGACTGAAGTCTGTCTGGATGGAAATGGGGAGACCTACACTGGGGATTTGTCTGTGACTCTGGGGGGTCGCACATGCCTGCAGTGGACCGCAGCAGAAGTGCAGGCCTTAACAAAGGGGAAAGAGTTGCTGCCTCGAGTTCAGCTGGTGAAGAACCACTGCAGAAACCCAGATGGAGATATGGAGGGTCCCTGGTGCTATGTAAAGGGAGCAGGCGGAAACATTACCATTGATTACTGTGACTTGGAGATGTGCGGTGAGTGAACAGTATTGCCTTCTACAAAAACACACATACATTAAAGGGATTTTGTCATCGTTTACTCATGTTGTTAGAAACCTGTATGAATGTCTTTCTTCTGTTGAACGCAAAAGAATACATTTTTCAAAATATCTTCTTCTTTGGAACTGTACGACAGAATTTTCATTTTTGGGTGAACTATCCCTTCAACAACAAAAATATTTGTTTCTTCCCTTGAACCTTGGACCTTCGTTGAAAGTGACATCTGGGCCAAAGTTTTTAAATTAGGATTAAATGTCATTTTCAAATGTTTAGGAAGCCTAAGTGCATTAGACATAAATTATAAACACACCACTAAGCCAACACTGAACATCATTGGGTCTTTGTCATTCACCCTCAGATGCCCCTTTGGACAAGTTCGTCGAGGAATCAGGTGGTAGAGAGAGAGCAACTCACGGAGACAAAAGGAAAGCTTTCTTTAATCTCCGTAGCTTTGGCAATGGAGAGCAAGGTAAGAGTCTGATACCGTCCCCATCTGTTTTGTGGATGTTATCACTAGAAGTTTGAGTTCTTCTATAATCAACTGATAATTAAGATGATTAAGTTGTCTTTTGTCAGAGTGTGGAGTGCGCCCCTTGTTTGAGAAGATCAACAAAGAAGATAAGAACGAGAAGGAGCTACTAATGTCATACTCTGGAAGCAGAATAGTGGGAGGAGAGGAGGCTGAAGTGGCCAGTGCTCCATGGTAAATACAATACAGGGGCTGCTTTTAAACATCTTGGCATTATTGATCATCTCGACAGCTAATGCTGCACTTTGTATGATGTGTTTGTTGTGATTTGCAGGCAGGTGATGCTGTATAAGCGTAGTCCTCAGGAGCTGCTGTGTGGAGCCAGTCTGATCAGTGATGAATGGATTCTCACTGCCGCCCACTGCATTCTCTACCCACCGTGGAACAAGAACTTCACAATCAATGATATTATCGTCCGCCTGGGAAAACACTCTCGTACCAAGTGAGGTCTTTAAAAATTTCTAGAAAACCTCTGTATATTTCTTTTCACTGGACTTTTCACGAATACATACTTTATTTATGCCAAGTCATTTAGAAACATCAGTTTACAGAAGGTTAAGCTGTTTTAAACCCTTTCCTGTGTCTCTCTGAGTCAGGTATGAGAGGGGCACTGAGAAGATTGTGGCCATTGATGAAATCATTGTCCACCCTAAATATAACTGGAAGGAAAACCTGAACCGAGACATTGCTCTTTTGCACATGAAGAAGCCTGTTACCTTTACGAATGAGATCCACCCTGTTTGTCTGCCCACCAAGAACATTGCAAAGAAGTAAGAAAATACAGTAGTTTAATATAGATATATATTTACAATGAGACAGATGTAGCGTCAGATATATTGTTCAGTACTGTATATACAAGTGAAAAGATTATTGGAAAAGAAAATCATGTAGGGCAGGGACTTGGTTCTACTCATCGGTTGTTGATTGGATGGAGGTAGATGAATGCAAGTTTGATCACGTTTGTAAGAAACAGGTGGAGTTTCAGCATACTAAACAATTTGAGAAGTCTGATGAATCATGGATGAATCATTCACAATAAGATTAATAACATGCATTTATTTTCATTCCGATTTTGAAACTTCACACCATAATGATGCTAACCCCTTGAACCCCCTTTAAGCATTTTAGCATAACTTTAGAACAAACTGACAGTATACATATAGCTGTAATTGACCGATTTTCTCTCTGAAGTTTGATGTTTGCAGGTTACAAGGGCCGTGTGACTGGCTGGGGGAACCTGAGGGAATCGTGGTCCTCAAACCCAACCAATCTTCCATCAGTGCTGCAACAGATTCACTTGCCCATTGTGGATCAGAGCATGTGCCGCAATTCCACCTCGGTCATCATCACTGACAACATGTTCTGTGCTGGTAATATACTTCATATTCTTCATGGTTTTTAGACCCTAGACAATTCATTTGCTGAGAGCTTGTGTGATGCTTTTGCACTCAGGTGTCACAACAAGGTCATCTTTTGTTTTATAGGTTACCAGCCAGATGATACAAAAAGAGGTGACGCTTGTGAAGGAGACAGTGGCGGACCGTTTGTGATGAAGGTATAATGTTTATGCTTTTCTCTCCTCAAACAAGTTTGACTTATCAGTGTCCTATAAAGCTCTGTTTGTTGGACTCACACCTCTATATTTGAACATCTTGTCCTTTTAAAACCCATTACTGCCCACAGAGTCCTACAGATAAACGCTGGTATCAGATTGGCATTGTGTCGTGGGGTGAGGGCTGTGACCGCGATGGCAAATATGGATTCTACACACACTTATTCCGTATGCGTCGCTGGATGAAAAAAGTAATTGACAAAACAGGCTCAGCAGATGAGGAGTGATCTTCCAAGCTGGAAGAACACATTTGCCACACAATAAATGAACACTCAAATGTGATCAAACCTGCAAATGGATAAATAAATCTGAATTCTTTGTATGTTGATACCAGTGTGTGAGCATGGAGTTTCTTTCTGTGTTTTGAAGGTGAGAATGGGCAGGCGTCTTGTTTATAATGAAACGCATGTAATTCTGGTTTAATTAAATTAAATTAAATTAAATGCCAGGTTCCTGCCATACAGAAATAGAGAAGGAACAGTGACTTGAATGATAACAGTTTTGAGGGTGATTACAACACACACCAAAGATGCTCTTATTTTTTCACAGCTATCAAATCCACTGTATTTTGATGAGATGCTTTGAAAGAAGAAGAAAAATGTGCAATAGGCGAGACACTGCAGGTGAATAGGGTAAAAAAAAAAAAAAAAGTTATCGCCTTACTTACCCAGCTGATTGATTACATTGATAATTGCAAACATTTTTTGCATTACAAGTTTTCTAAAATGTTAGGTTTAAATATGCAAATGAGTCATTATTTAATGAAGTATGTGCTAATTTGCATACATTTCTAGTACAAAAAATCTAAACACTGGATGATGTCAGTTTCAAAGTTCGTTTACATATTAGAGTCAAAAGATTTTACAGAGGGAATTTGGGGTATCTCATTTTTGTCAATCCATAATTCAGAAAATGCTTAGAATGGACAGAAAACACTATATTTTTTCATAATTTTGGGGGGAATAAAATGCTGTATATAATCAAGCAAATTATATATGAACTAATCCCTCTGTAAAAACCTTCAGGATATAGACAGGAATAAAAATGTAAAGTTTGGTGTGTGTAAGTGCTACTGAAGTGGAGATTTATGGCTCAGTGTAGGAGAAAAAACTATTTTTGAGAAAACGGACTTTAAAAATATGTATTGTAATTGAAATCTATTGAAACAAATAGATAAAGTGCTATAAAAGAAACACTTAACAGTGTCTTTTGGATGTTTTCTTTCCACTAGTCTGAAAAAACACTTTATGAAACACCAAAAAGCCCAAAATCTCAAACTTGACAGGTGCATGAAAAAACTGTGTTTTTGCCTGCAGTGTCTCCCCTTAAAAGCCATAAAGTTTCCTATTAGTAAATGTACTAATAGAGTAAAATGGTAATGCAGACAAAATTATTAAGATTAATTCAATAAAATAGTTTTTCATCTTCCAAGATCATTTATGATGCCGTGCAACTGATCACTGAATGCTCTCATCTATCAATTTATTTCATACCAAAATATCATGCAATGCTAAAATAAATGTAAAGCAGTTTCAGGGCAATCGCCTCAGTTGAACAGACTTAAATCAAACTCGTTTAAACTAATACATTTCTTATAAGGTTATAATGTAACTGTAATTCAATAATGGTGTTGCACAGATTCAATGGTCCCAGAATGAAGGAGTGTTGACATGGAGGGAAATTTCTAACATTTATGGCTCTTGTTCTGTTCAACACATTATGATAAAAGAGACCTGACTGAACCCACAAAGAGCAGTATAAAATGTGTACGTTGGTTCGTTTGCTTTAGACAATTAGATCTTAATATGTGGCCCATTTTACCCGTTGTTCAACGATTATAACAACAACAACAACAACACATTCTTGGGGGTGTGGTCATACGTTCTCCTCCTGCATCCGGGCCGTTTATACTGAACTACACGGATCGCAAACCGGAAGTGCCGCATGAAATTTCAGTTGTGAAGATTTATATAGGGAGCGCTGAAATTAGGTAAATTTATTTCTCCATATTTGATTCATAACAACTGTAGTTTTTTTACTCAGTGTTTTGTTCTCTGATCCGCATAAGCCTCTAGTCATTCGGCAGGGCGACGCTTTCCGTTGTGTTGAGTCAAGATGAAACAGGTTTGCAGCTAGTTAGCTTAGCAGACTGTCGAATGATCATAACGAGCAAATATGTGCGGCATCTGGCTTTTTGCTTGAACGCCATCACTGAGACCTAAACTATTGCGTATTATTTAAATAATATGCCTACATGTTGACTCTGTTCTTGCTGGTTAGACGCGCGGTTGCGCGTCCAGATGTTGCGTTTCCCTAGAAACGCTGACACTATCTGTCCTGATCGTGTAGTCGTGTAACTACATCAGACGATCAAAAAGAGAGTAAACGTTTGTCATTTTACTAAAATACTCTGAAAGTTGGAAGAACATGATCGGTTATGTTGTCTGACAGAAGATTACTGACCTGCCACAGATAAATCGCACATAGACTAACGTTACCATCGTTATGGGCAGAAATCAAGCTCCAAGCCCTGATCCCAAATGTCGATTGTTTTTCCTGTAATATTGTTCATGAGATAAGTAATAGTAAAATCTTGGCTGTACCATGGTTGTTTGTACATGGAGGTACCAGTACCTGTTTAACAAAAAAGGGGTTTTGGGTTGTTGACAGACATGCACTGCAGTGTAACATGGTATACTTCATCTAAAACTATTTTAAACAGCCATTCGTTCTTATATTATTATTATTGTGCATGCAATTTTTATGACCTCACATTAATTGAGAGACGTACATGGAACATTTATATGGCAGGGCCATTTAGAATGAACTAGTGAAGGCAATCCTTCATATATCCGTCCTACCTTCACAATTTATTAATGACCTTAATAAATTTCTACCTTAACGCAAATGACCTTATCACAGTTAATCTACCAGTTTGCTAATGCGATCATCTGGGACATGCAGAGATAATTTGTTATGTTTTTCTCTCCCTTGAATCCATGTGTGGATGGTGACACTGCAGAGAGATTAGCAGAATCACATGATGCTATTAAGCTCTAGACCTCACACTCAGTTTTGCTTTAGTCTGCTTCATTCTGCAGATTATTCTGTGGCATCTCATTGTGTTTGTCAGCTGAGCTCATCTGAACCATCTGGCTCTACTTGAAACAGAACTGATAATTATCACATTTGCATTTTTTTAGCAGATGTTTAGTAACTTATGATTGAGGAACGTTACAGCAATATGGAGCTGGTTTTAGCGATGTCTGGCACTCAGTATTACTGACCAGCCACAGATGAACTACCATGAGAATGGGCAGAAATCAAGCACAGATCCCAATATTTTTTTCCTGTAGTATTGTTCATAAGATTATAAATAATAGTGAAATCTTGATTGTATGTAGTTTGTTAATAATTATAAGCTCATTAGTACATGAGAAAAGCACTAGCTATTGATTTTATTCTGGCAGTTATTGCTCTATATTGTGGTCTTTATATTTTAGAAAGTGTAGTTGATTTTGGAGGTGTGGAGGTTTTGGGGCTTCTTCTTTAGGTCTCTTGTTTTTAAGCTCTCTTTAGGGTCTTTGTTTCTCTCTAAAGTGCTGGTTGATTCACTGAGTGCAGCCTTGAAGCACAACTGTGAAAGAGGCGCATTGTTTTTGCTGATGATCTTTCGAACTGGCTAATGAATTAGATGGCACTGTAGAGTGGGACAGGACTGATTTTGGACGGTGCTGTTTGGTTAGAACCAAAAGATGTATGATCAAGTATTGACATCAGCGATAGTCCAACTAGTAACCTAAGAATTGTGAAAGCTTCTTTATATGGTTTCTTTGACTCTAAGCAATCTATAGCAAGATTGCTGTCAGTATTGACAACAAGGCTAGATAACTGAGATGCTCTTTAATCAGAGCGACAGATTAATGACCTGGGTTACATCACCTGAAGACTGTTCTAATGTTATCACATTATTTAGAGATAGCAGAATAGAGGCTGTCACAGATGTTAGTAAATGTGAAACTGGCTCTTCAAGGGTTGAGGATATAAATAGGAGCAAAGGGTAAAACCGAGAATTGTTGTCAGTATACGGCTGGACGGCCTCATTGCCGTGTGGCACCAAAGCGAGGGACTGTCACAGCAGATCACTGTCTGAGCTGTACTGACGCCTGCACTAGTAGCCCTGTGTCTACACACAGATGAAAAAATATAGCACATTCACAGTGCCACAATGTTTTAATACTAAAAGAATGTAATTATAACATAAGAAATAATAATATTATTAAGAATTTAGTTCCACAAATCTTGACCCTGCCGATATGAACAACTAACACTAGCATGCTGAGAAGATTGATTGTGATCATTATGGTTGTGGCAAATAAAAACATTTGATGATGAAATGAAATCTACGGGCAAGCTTTCAAATGAATGCGCTGTGTACTGTTTTAGAAAGAACAAATGGTATTAATTGTTGGGGGTAGTTTGCTTACATGGCAGAGCAGCTAGTGGTTATGTGATCTGGAAATGAATAATTTTTAAATCATGCTTTTTTTAAATGGACACAATTTGCTAATTTAACAATAAAATGTAATGCAACAGTATACCTGTTCTTTTGAATGTGATATTGTTGCAATGAAGAAGTTAAGTTTTTTTGTTTTTGTTTTTAGTTTTGTGAGTAGGGCTGGGCATCGTTCAAAAAGTTTCAATACCGATACCTTGACTACCCTGATCTTTTCTGAAACGCCAGTATGAACAAGGATCATTTTCATTTTAAAACGCCATTTTAAAAAATGCACTAGTGTACACGCAGCCTTACATCTATTAAACAGTTCTCATGGGGGGCAGATTGATAGTTAGCAAGATTGAGTTACGAAAACAAACTCAAACGACTTGTTCAGCATTTGACATTGTGGTCAGTCACTGAACATGGAAGTGTGCCCGTGTGCAAATGCTGCATTTACCCAGGCTTATGCAGGACAGACAGGAACCTAGTGTGAAGGCAGCTGAGCTTTCACCGATCTCGGTATAACATTGTGTGGTATTGAAACGTGCTGTTCTGTGTCTAACCTTTGTGTGTGAATTGTGTTGTCTAAGAGGACCATCATGTCCTCTGACCTGCTGGTGGACCTTCACGATGATCTGGGAGGAGATGACTCTCCTAGCGCTGCCCTGGACCAGCTCAAACTGGTACAGGACAAACAGTGGCCACCAGATGACCCTTTTAGCCTGAGCAAATCCGGTGAGTGCATGGTGGTGGGAATTGTGCGTGTTTGTGTGTCATACAGGATAATAAGAATTTAAAAATTTAGTTTCATTTTGCAGAATTATACTGATCTTTTCAAAGAATAAAGCAGTGTAAGAAAAATGAAGTAATTGTCAAGTACTTTTGCTTTTGGCCTTCAATTTTATGACAGTCAACCATTGTTTACCAATACCATGAAAATGTATTCGTCAAAAAAATAAAATAAAAATACAATAGAAATTAAAACCAAATTCTTGTTTGTTTTTTGTTGTAATTCCAAATATAGGTCACCCCAAAATGAATGTTTAGTGTTTAACACGTTGAAGATTAGCAGGCTGACAATTTATATCCTCACAAAAGCCAGTGTACTGAATTAATTCATTCCATTTGCATCCATAAAAAAAAGAAAAGTGAGAACGGTTCAGAAAAGTGGCTTCGTTTCCTAGGGGCTTAGGTCACACACTGGATGAGAAGCAGGTATGGCACACCGGATGCGTCATTCTATACTCTTGTTCTCAAGTTTATGGCAGCAGTCCAAAGCAGTGAACACAATCACTAGTATACATGCAAAAATTACTTTTCAAGAATGAACAAAGTATGTGATACCACTGCTGATTTTACTTGCATTTGTTGGGTTGGTGGTTGTTAATTTCAAATCCTGATCATCTGGTTGAGCTAGCAAAGTGCCAAGTGGGATCTGAGAGGCTGACTTTCCTCTATCACTCTATAGCCATATACTCTATAGCTTGTGTTTGGGATATTTTATGATCGTTTCAGTTACATGTTTTTTTATTTTTGTTTGAAATGTAGCATTCATTATAGTCTTTCCTGCAGCGTCAGATATTAAAAGCCTTGGCGGCACATCACATCTGCCCTGGGATGACCCCTTCTATGACATTGCCAGACATCAGATTGTGGAGGTTGCAGGTGAGGTATCATGAAATGCACAAGCATCACCAGCTAGCGTTAATTCTAATTCTAAAATCTCCCGATCTTTCTCTTTCTTTTTAGGTGATGATAACTTTGGTCGGAAGGTCATTGTTTTTAATGCTTGCCGCATGCCTCCCCAACATCAACTGGATCATCATAAACTTCTCATGTAGGCATCGCTGCTCTACTTCATTTATGTGGTTCATTAGATGTGCTCAATACACTGTGTCGCCTGATAATTAAAGGGGTCATATGACGTTGCTAAAAAGAACATTATTTTGTGTATTTGGTGTAATGAAATGTGTTTATGCAGTTTAAGGTTCAAAAAACACATTATTTTCGACATACTGTACATTATTGTTTCTCCTGTGGGGGCGTGTTAGAACGAGCCGTTTTAGGTAGGCGTGGCTGACGTTCACTTTTATAAAGAATATCTCTTTGGGTTTGAGACTTTAATCTTTGCGATTTATGGATCTTCTGTATGCACGAACAGCTTGTAACACTCCAAAGACAAAGGAAAACATGAAATCGCATCATATGACCCCTTTAATATTTCTGCATTAACTTGTCCAGGCTGTCCTATGTAGATGATCACAAGACACTCTAAAGATCAAGGTCAAGTGTAGGGAACAAGAGTACAGGGAAAACATTTATAAGGATCCAATGAGAGAAGTTGTCCATAGAGACAGAAAGAGAAGATATAAGCAGCGCTTTTGATATATCAACTGATGTTTTCTGTTTGTTTGTGCAGGTAATTTGGTTAATAATAATATATTTCGATTTTAATTGATATGTTGTAAATATATATTTGTCAGTTCAATGTTAAAAAATACAAGCTTATGTCGATTTTAGAATACTGTTTTTATTTTAATTTTTTTATCCTGGTGTGACATTCAAAATAATAATCAGATAAAATAATCAGAGTTTGTTGGAAATGTTGTCAAAAGTTTTTTTAAATTATAACTTGATTTTGTTCACCACATTGGTACTTAATTTGAAACTTTATTTCAGTGGAATAATTATTGAAAATAAGTATTTTACATTTTTATGTAAATGTATGATACACCATATGTCACATCATTTGAAGATTTCAGGGATTAACTGTCAGTTCTTCCAAGATTAAAGTTAGCTTAAAATGCCAAAATGTATATTCCCATGAGAAATGTATTTAGGACAATTCATGAGGTTTTCCTTTCTTCATTTTTTTGGTTAAAAGTCAACCACTCATATGCTGAGTTATAAATTAATCATGTGTTCAGTGGGTCAAAGCACCATAAGACAATGTTCAAAGACAATGACATTTTTAATGAAGTGAAATCAAGACTTAGTTCAGTTCCCTATTGGGAACTTCAGGAGTTGTCTGAGAACAGAATGGTTTGTGTAATGAAATCTAGAGCAAATGTCAGACTCTGAAGAGTATAAATAAAACCTGAAGTTTCAGTAATTGACAGCTGATTCACAAATATGCTAATAAGTGCAGATGTGCCTTCTGTTTGTTTTAGTGTCTAATATGAACTCAAACTCGTGGTAAAAAAAAGACAAGTTTTGATTTGGTGTGTGCATTTATTGATATTTGTGTGCAGGTATTTGAAGCAGACTCTTGATAAGTATGTGGAGAGTGATTATACCCTCATCTACTTCCATCATGGTCTGACCAGCGAGAACAAGCCCTCTCTAAGCTGGCTTCGGGATGCCTATCGAGAGTTCCACAGGAAGTGAGTGATGCTGTTGTTAGTGAGAGGCTCATGAGTGCTTTAACAGCAGCACACCAGAGCAAACCTTATTGGTTCTGTCAAGCTTCAGTATTGCTGTGTCTGTTGCAGGTATAAGAAAAATATCAAGGCACTGTACATAGTCCATCCCACCATGCTTATCAGAACCATCCTTATTCTCTTCAAACCCCTTATCAGGTCAGTGCCACACTATGCTCAACGTTATTTTATTCTCACTTTGATTGTAGAGTGTGATCTGTACTGTAATCTGAATCTTATAGCCTGAATGCATAATACTTCATAATACATCACAGATGGATGTGCTTATGTTCTGTTTTCAGCTTTAAGTTCGGCCGTAAGTTAAACTACATAAATTATTTGAGTGAGCTGGAGGAGATTGTGAAGTGTGATCAGCTGGTGATCCCCAACAGAGTCCGAGAGTAAGAAATTCTAGATATGCTTTGCTTTTTATAAACACAGTTATTCATGTGTTCGAATCACACTGTCATATCTTAGCCCAGATTAAAAAGTTCTTTTGAGGTGCATTCAGGAGTTTCTTTGTGTAGGTATGATGATAAGATCCGTCTGTCCCTGAAGCCGTCTGTCGTCCCTGGACCGATCTCTCCCCCTCGTAGTCCTCTTCCGTTCCAGCAGTTTGGGGTTCCACTGTCAGTGTAAGTTAAGTCGCTAGCAGTTCCTCTCATATCTCACACAGCTACTGTTAATGACTGAAAGCAAGAAATTATTCCTGAATGTAGTTGAAGATGACAGTCTCATTTATACTACAGAATTTAATAGAAACATTTTTACATTTTGATTGTGCACTATGAGAAATTCTTTTTTGCTATTTAGATTTTTTTTAGAGGAGCTTTGCTTATTTAGATGATGTTTTGTATTGTTGCTTGTAATCAGATGGAGACACAGGGCGGCAGACTCAGAGGGAATTCCACTAGTCATGCGTGATACTATTGGATTCCTGCAAGAGAATGGTAGGTCTTTTAGTCAAGTCAGATTTATGGCTCAATCAAACCTTTTACGTACCTCTAAACGTGAATGTACTGTATGTATCCACGTAAGGTTGGATATACTAATAGTAGTCTTTTTGTTTAGCCTGGGGGGAGGGTTGTGGAATATTGGGCCAAATTTATTATAGAATAGTGTAAACTTTATTTATTTACTTTCTTAAATTGAGAATGTGAATTTTATTCCCATCTTCATTGTAGGTCTTAAGACAGAGGGAATATTCCGGCGTTCTGCTAATGTTTCTTTGGTTAAGGATGTTAAGCTGAAATATAACTCAGGTAAATTCATGTGATGCGGAAGAATCCTCACACATTTCCTGTTCACAAGAATGATTGGCATCAGTCCTTAGATTTTGACGTGTGTGTGTGTGTGTGTCTGTAGGAGAGGAAGTGAGTTTCTCTCAGCTGGACGATGTCCACTTGGCAGCTGTGATCTTAAAGATGTTCCTCAGAGAACTTCCAGAGCCGCTGCTTACCTATCAGCTCTACAACGACATTGTCAACTTCCACAGTGAGAACACAAAACACAATGCACTCACATACCAACACCAGCAGCTTCCAGAAAGCTCACATACACGCGCACACACACACATCTGTACACCTACTATACTGATTTGTTTACTGATTGTTAAAACCACAGCTTTTGCATGTAGACTATTTACAATGAGCCTTGAAAGTGACATGACCACACACACATTCACACAAACTTGATTTGCATTCCATGTGTGTTGTGTTATCAGATGTTGACACAGAGTCTCAGGCAGAAAGGATTCGGAACATGCTGATGTCACTTCCTGAGGAGAACTATGCATCACTGCGCTTCCTTATACAGTTTCTTGCTCAGGTAATGCTCATCATAATCGGCAATGTTCAACAAAAATAATTTTTACCTAAAAGTTCAATTTAACTTTTTTTAAAGTTTATATTTATTATATATTTACATATTATTATTATTATTAGTGCTGTCAATCGATTAAAAAAATAACTAATTAATCGCACATTTTTCTGAAATTAATCGCGATTAATCCTACCTAACATTAAAGTTTTTAAATATACTTTTGTATTGCAATAATTTCACATTCAATCTTCAAATGAATGTACAAACAACATAAAGACAGTATATTTTTTAATGTTTAATGGCATCTTACTGAAGGCCAGAATCAATGATACCAATACTGATTTCTCTATAAAATTGCCCCCCTTCCATATTTAACCATTGACAATAGCCATTCAACATTACAGTATAATTGAGAGCTATCAATTTTAACATTTATTAGACTTTAAAAAATAACTTCTAATTTAAGTGAACTTAAAACAATCTTCACATAAACCCATTATAATAAATGTCATATTTACCTGTGCCCTTCAGCAGAAATATACAGAAATTGAAATGATCAAACACTAAATTCTAAATTAAATATAAAAAGCTATAAAAGTTCTTATTTCCTCTTTTTTTTTCTTTGTCCTTTGATTAATAGACATCACAGCAGCTGGTTATTAGGTTATTTCTTTAAGAGCTGCCATTGCTGAACGTGACGCGGATTCTACATGCATGCATTTCTCTCAAATCTTTTTACCTTTTCTGACCCACTTCAGGTCTTAAAGTCTCTATTAATGAGTTGAATCGGGTGTGTTAGATGAGTGAGACAGTGCCGGGCTGCTCCAGGACAGTTTTGAAAACCATTTCAGAGACATGTTCTTAAATGTGACTCATATAAAATATATTACATGCATGCACAGTTTTAAGGCAGCTTTAATCGCCTTTTTGGCAACTTCATGACTTAACTGACCACGACATTGCATGTACGTAGTTTATTTTGCGCTTTGATATGAAAAGATACAGGCTAGAGCACGCGCTGTGAGCACAGTACCGTTTCTGCGCTTGCTTGACTCGCGCCTGGCGCTGAAGTGAAGTGGAGCGCGCGTCTGAAACCTCTCCCGCTCTTCCCCGTTCACACTGCCAGCGACTTTTTCTCTGTATGTCGCTAGACTCTGTGCTGTGAAGACGCTTGTGGGCGTTCCTACTGCTGTCGCTCTAATGTTATTGGTAGACTGCACGTCTGGATATATCTGGACACATAAAATGCAATCACAAACTATATATTGCCGGTAAAACTAAGATATCATTCGATTATGACTAGGAATTAGACTTGTAATTAGGCCGATATATCGGCCGATATTTGGCATTTTCAAATATCGGCATCGGCCGATAAGTTTTTCTGCTTGGCCGATGTGTTCGAGGCGTTTTGACATCGTGCCAGACTTTTATTTTGACGGCGCTGAGAATGACAGCGCCAGAGCACACAGTGCTCACATTCTCCCTCCAAACCTTTAAATGACTAATGAACATGTAATTTCACAAACCTTGCATACTTAGTCGAATCCAGCTGTGAGATCTTGTGAAGTGTGCATTAGTATATTGCCTGATCGCGTGTTCTCTGCGTGACAGCCTATCCGTGTGAATTGAATCCGGACAGGAGGAGAGTTCAGTTTCACTGGAGATGCGCGATCAACTTTAAACTTGTGATTTCAAACTATGCTGATTTATGCATTTGCGCACTGTCATATTCGTGTCATTTTTACTGCGTGCTGCATGTAAAATGAGTGTTACCTTGGCTTTAGTTGAAAAAATATGATTCCCAATGCACACAAGATTCCCAACTTCCCAGATTACAGAGTGCCCTGTTGGTTACAGTGTTTACTTACTTTTTGTTTATATATTTTAAAATATTTCTTTATTTGTGAAAAATACTGTAATAGAATTATAGAATCAGGAAGTTGTCATCTAAAGTGTAAGTATGTTTATTAAAATAAAAAATATACTTATATATATTGGCTTTATATCGGTCACCCTGCTCTCTAAGATATCGGCATCGGCTGTCAAAAAACCAATATCGGTCGACCACTATGTATGAATCAAAGTCACATAGACAGCCAACAGTTTATTTTCTCCGCATCATTTTTTTTATATCCATGTATGTGGTTACAGTAAAATCATATTCATATAAAACAGTGAAATCGCTCAGGAAATCTGTCCTGTCTTGCCTGCACTCGTGACGGTGACGTGTGAGCGCCACTGACAGATTCTTCACTCCTATTGGTTGTCGCTCGCGAAATTGGCTGTTCATTTGCATAAAGTTAAACAATTTTTAACTTTTATCGCTTGACTCGCATCGCTTGACACGCCCACATTCTGTCGCCAACGGTCACTGCCGCTCGTGTCGCCGGAAGTCACCAGCTCTCCATTGAAATTGAATGGGAGCATGTTGCTTTGTCGCCGGCAGTGTGAACGGGGCTTCGTTCTGCGACTGAATAAATGCACTTCTTGTCAAGAGAAAAAGTGACAGAAGCAGCAGTTGTGAGTGGGGTGGCCAACCCTAGCCCCGCCCCTGCGTTAATTACGTTCAATATTTTTAACGAGTTAAACTGAAAAAATGAATCGCCTGCGTTAACGTGCTAATTTTGACACCACTAATTATTATATAATTATATTGTATATTATATATACATACATATTATATATATATGTATGTGATATATATATATATATATATATATATATATAATGTATATATGTGTATATGTATATATATATATATATGTGTGTGTGTGTGTAAATAAAGTAATACAGACACACATATATTATACTTATTTTTATATATATTTATATTTAGAATTTTAAATGTAACATCTTATAATTTGTTTCTTTCCTACTTTGTCCTTCAAGCCCTTTAGTGTTTCTGATCTTTATTGTTATTAATGTGCAGGTGTCTGCTGAGAGTGAAGTCAATAAGATGACCAATGCCAACCTGGCTGTGGTGTTTGGGCTCAACTTGCTGTGGGGGCAGGATGCTTCCATGACACTCAGCGCGATCGGACCAATCAACAACTTCACCCGCATCCTGCTCGACCTACATCAGAAGGTCTTTATCCAGTGAGGAGCAGGAGAACTTTTCACAATGACTCCTCTCTGGTTATTGTCCCACCTAGTTCCATAGCTTTGCTCCTCTGTGGCTGTGCCCCGTCCTTAATGTCTCCCTCAGTATTGCCAAATGCATGAGTATTTTAACTGGGTGAAGCTACGAAAAAAAGGATACTGGAGGGCGCAGAGTGGTCAAGCTGTCACAAACGTTTAGGCTGTGATCAAATTCTGACAATCGTCTCCTATCTTTCCTGCAGAAGTCATGTAGCTGCTGTCAGACATAATGGTACTGCACAGGCACTAGCGTTTTATATGGTCTGTTAGCAGAGGCCTGAATCAATAAACCAACAAAGTGTACAGGTAGCTGCTTTCATTTTTATTTTTTGGTAGCTCATCAGCTATACTTCGGAAATTTTTTGTTGGACTTTACAGAATTAATTTCAGTTCATTTTTCCAAGTAAAATTAGACTAAATGCACACGTCCTCATTTTTGTAAGCCATAGTTGGCACAAGCTATGGACAAGTATAAAGCACTACTACTCAAACTTGAAACACTTATTTTAAACATGCTTATTTCATTTTACATAAAATATATGATATTATGTATTGTCTCAAAGAGCTTTCATTCAGTCTTCGTTTATATTATCTATCATTATATTTTTATTATTTCTATAATCTGTTTCATCTTTTTTTGGTGGCTCAGTGGCTCCAGGAACAGGGCAGCTGCTTTATGGCCAGCACAAATTTCCTGATGCTGAAACAGAAAAGTCATTTTTCTGATCAAAACCTGTATGTGTGTGTGGGTGTATACATTTATACATATGTATATATATATATATATAATATTCACGCCAACAGTCTGCTTTTTCTCTCTGTATGTGTGGAGTTGTGTGTGGTTTGTTCAGTAATGCTGTTGTATTATTCTACCCCAGACATATTTATTTTGGCCAAAGATTATATGGTTAAAATGTTTGTGTGATCAAATTTATTTGTAACTTGGAAGACGTACTGCCTGTCGGGGACAGTGCCATTACACATGGGTGCATTTGAAATAAAAGCCCAAATCAAGATAGAAATAGCAAAGAACAATTTGATGTCATTTTGCCCTCTCAGTAAAATTGTGGTTTTATCTTTGAGGAAACATATCATAGTGTGATGAGTTATTACTGGTGTACTGGAGTACATAAAAGTACAGCGACATTTTAGTTGTATCACAGGGCTCTGTACGTGAAGTGAATCGTCCAGATTTTGCACAATAGAGTCTTGTTTCATGGGTCTGAAATCCCCCCCAAAAAACATAAAGCAGGTACTTGGGTACTAATTATTTAGCACTAATGAGTTAAGTGTCATATGCCTTGATATAAAATTGTAACTCTTTACTGTGTCATGTAAATGTCCTATTCATGTCAATCCGTCCGAGCATTGACATGTGGACCAGTGGCTTAACTAGTTTTAGACAAGCGCCCTCAAACCTAAATGTATGTGTGCCTTAATGGAGTGAACTGGCGACGATATTAGCTGTTAAATTCCCTTTCTCTGGACAGATCTGTGAACTTTGTGCCATTTTGTTGTATCTGTATCCAAACACCTACCTGTAGACATGTATATCTGGTTTCCAGGTGGAACTTATTACTTCTTTTGTGAAGGTTCTTTTCTTCCATTTTGGCTGTTAAAATGTATCCTGTGCTTTTGAAATCTTTTGTATATCATGTTGTGATTTCAGAGTAATAAATTGTTAGAGATGGTGTAATATTTTTTTCCCTCTCTGGATTTGTTTTTTAAGCTTTTTTAAACATCCACAGGTTTTGGTGAGCAAATAAAAACACTTTTACCACAGTTTTCTTAATACGGATAAAAGCAGGCAGTTATATTTAATTGGCGTTTACATATTTTGTCCCAAAAATAACTACCCTGTGAGGAGTATAATAAACTAATTATAAATACAGGTAATTATATCTTATTTTGGAACACAATCATTGCCAACAACATCATCTATAAAGTGCAGAAATGGCATATAGATTAAGAATACAAACAGTAATTTGATTACACAGTTAAAGTCACACGTTTTGTTCAAATGAAGTAATAAAAATATAAGATTATTTTTGAGGAAGGCTGCATATAAAATGGATCTGTTGCACTAGATATAATTGTGTTGTTATTTGAGGTTGGCATGTTCTACATGAATCAGAAACAGGTCATGTCTCGCTTATAAATGCGCATGTGTGTGTATTTGACAGAGCAGAGATGTGGGTAATGGTAATTTGTGTGCGTGTCTATAATGTGAGAGGGAATGTGTGATGATGTGTATGCACTGTTCCTGTAGGGAGGAGATTCTCTGGCTCCTCACACCCAGCTGAAGCTCAGTTTCAGGGGCCGTAGAGCTCACCAGAGGATACAGAGCCTTGCTGACCTGAAAGGAACACAAAAGTTCCAGGAGCATTTTAAACCCCCACATATAACCTACATCCAGTACTTCCACATACTCAGTGCAGTGATATTTACCTGTTCCAGCCCAGTGAAGGCCACCCCAAGGTTCACTCCATTTCGGAAGAACGTCAGTGTTCCAGTGTTCAAGTCCAGCAAAACCCCAATGACTGTATTTCTTTCATAAAAAGGCTCTGTGTATTTTCGACTCCTTCCATTATGCCAGACAAAGCCTTTGTATGATAGACCCCAACTCTCACTGTCAATGCCTTTGATAAACAATAACAATAAAATAAACACAGTTAAAATGATTCAAAGAAAAGCATTGTGTGCTTTTGTATGGTCTACTTGTGTGGGGAAGTAGTGGGGAAGTCGTGGCCTAATGGTTAGAGAGTTGGACTCGTAACCCAAAGGTTGCGGGTTCGAGTCTCGTACCGGCAGGGAGTGTTATGCCAGACAAAGCCTTTGTATGATAGACCCCAACTCTCACTGTCAATGCCTTTGATAAACAATAACAATAAAATAAACACAGTTAAAATGATTCAAAGAAAAGCATTGTGTGCTTTTGTATGGTCTACTTGTTCTGTACGTTTCCTCCCTTGTTAATCTAGGTGGTGTTGATAATTAAAATTCCTGTTTGATAATTAGATGATGTCATTCATTTTTAGGTTGTCAAGTAAGATCAACCTGAGGGAGTTTAGGTCTGTGCTGAGCGGAGCTGGGCTGATTTGGTAGAAGAATAAAAGCATTCCTAAGAGGAACATGACCGTACTCACCTATGAGGTTAACAAACTTTTGATCCCCTGTGTGCAGAAGTGCATTTTGGGTACCAACCCCCACCATCACAGAGCTTCCATAAGGAGGCTCTAGGAACTCGATCTTCCAGTAATGCTCACCGTGAGTGAAACCTTACACAGAAATATGTGTTATTCTGTAGTAATGAATCAATTATTATTAGAAAATTATACCACAACACATGATAGTTATCCTACAAAGCAATACTCTACTAGAGCATAATTAAAGCCTTACTAGCATTATAATTGCTAGTTAAAAATGAACTTGAACCAGGTGTGTTGCAAAGGATACTAGCACTTAATGTTCAACTTATTATCACTGAACGTTTATACTGCTAAAGCAGTATCAGCTTGATTACATGTAAGATTGTACTTTAATAATAAAACTAGCTGACTTAATGTGAACAACAAAAACAGCGCTTATCACTCACTAGTCTCACCTTTGGTGCCTCTGACCCCTGCAGTGCCCTGACTGTCCAACAGAGGGCTGACATGAAAATATGCAGCTTGTCGGCATAGAGACAGATGAGCATCAGGAGATTTACTGTCCGGATCCCATTCCCAACTCTCCCAAGTGTGACCTCTAAAAGAGCGCAACATTTGCTCTCTACAACACACAGCATATATACATATTAATGACTGTACAGTAAAAAATAAATAAAATTAGCTATCCAATGTCCCCATTACCAAAAGCAATGTTTTTTTTTTTGCCATCATTTGATAGTTGATAGTTTGCTATCATTCGAATATTTTTAAGTTAAATATACATTTTATTACATACAGACGACGAGCGTACCATGCTGAGATATCTAACGTAGACTATTTTTTGACATTTCAAAACGCGGAGACCATTCAGACGGGTGCGCACGACGCACACATCGACTATAGAGAAAACATACATGATTTACCATCTGTACGCTAAATTATGTAATCCGAAGTGTAATGAAGAAGCAACTAAAACTTTATTTTGGGCACTTGAAATCCGCTTTTAAAAAGGAATTTACATTTTTAAAAGCATATATGCGTTCCGATAAAAGCATATATGCGTTTACAAGTTTACATATATGCGTTCCGATAGCTGGACGACAGAAAAACATTTCACAACTGCTGTCAAAACAAGTTTTCATCCTAATTTGGAAGTAGGCGTGCATTTGTGCTACGGCGCTCATGAATTTTAAAATAGCCGCTGCTGACGTTGCTTGGTAGCCTTTCAGTAACGCACCCTAATTAATATTCATAAGCCAAGCATTCGACATTCCATTGGGCGAACGACGAGCTAACAAATATTAATTAGCTAGTGGAACTCCAAGGTTTGCGTAAAGGAGACACAATGTTTTTGACCAGCTCAGCATATAGGGGAAACAAAAACAAGCCTGTCTGAAATAAATCAGTTTATTACCCAACATTTACATGCCATATTAACAAAGTGAGGAGAGAAAGAAGACACTTAAAATAATAAAAGAAGGTCCAGCTTCTAATGACTTGCCAAACATAAGCTTTAAAAGAAAAGGGAAAAAAGCATTCATCACCATTTAAAGACCTGATGAGTAGTAATGATAAACTGTCCCTAATTTAAAAATAAAAAATTAAAAGTATGAAAAGTTATGGTAAAATGCATTTACAAGAACCAGGTAAGCAGACACAGACTCACAATTCACTGTTGTCAATATTCACTGTAGTGACGTTCATGTTTAAGCCTGGACATACTCTCAGATTATTCAAGTTTTCCCCTCACATTAAAGTTGTAGAGAATTTGTATGGTGTCAGCAGTACAATGACAGAAATCTGCTTCAGTGACTAGTCAGTGAACTACATGTGTTGTCATGATGAGCAAAACAAAAATAAAGGCTGGTACAGGTTTATACATTCATTACAGTGAGCTTTACTTACACAGTTCTGCTATTTTAATAAATACAAGGGTTGGAAATTTTATGTTGCTCAGTTCCTTTAACAGATGCTGTTCTCCTTATACCTCAGTTCACTTTTTTTCTTGAATGATGATTCTCTTCATAGCTCATTGCACAAGGAAAAACTGACACAAAACAGGGTTAATGAAGACATCCAATGAGGGATGCTTCAGTGAAGGAAGCAAGAAGAGTAAAGAAGTTGTGAAGGAAGCAATCTCTGTTCTGTTCTGTTCTATTGTAGCGTGTCCACAAATGCATCAAACTCATCAATGTTCTTCTCATAAATGTCCAGTTTCTCTGGAAGAGAATCCTGCAAAAATACATGTTCACTTTACCAAACATCTAATAATGAACACATCACAATGTTACCGAAGTTTTAACATCATACTACGGCATGAATGTGAATAAATCAGCCTAAGTACTACATATAAACAATACTTGCAATTATTTTTTACCCTTAAGATTTTAACACCAACCCTGGGTTTGGTGCTAAAAAACTACCTGTAATGTAATCATACCTATATGAATACTCTCTATGTCTCTACTCTTATGTATATTCTCATGCCTTTCTTGCTTTAAAGGTCAACCTGTCCCATATAGATTGCAAAAATGTTCAGTATGTGCTGTGATGAGAATGTGTTTGTTTCTCACCAAATCCTCAGCCATAGACTGAGCGCTGACATCGATGGACAGGCTTGCAAGCTGAGGAGGGTTTTGAAACTCTCTATAGAAAGTTCCCAGATCCATTGGCAAAAGGTCATCCTTGGAGAATGCTGGTTTCTGTTTGGCACACAAACACAGAACTGGTCTTTGAACATAATATGAACCATATCTGACTTTTACCATACATTTAGAACAGGGATGGGCAGCCTTAATCAAACACACCTGTCTGTAATTTTCAAGCAATTCTGAAGACTTAAGTCAAATATTGTCTTATTATTGGGAGATGCAAGGGTCTGTAGTACTTACCATTGGAAAAAACCTAACTGCTAACTTGGATCATGTGAGGCATCTCAGCCAATCATACAACAGCCTCGGTCTCCTTCCCTTTGTACCGCCAAAGCGTTAGCATTAGCCGTTACACTTTTTTGGTTAAAGGCTGCAGGCTTGCCTTCCAGTGGCTTTGCTTAAGTTAGATTTTTCATGTGTGTTTGTTTAGGGATGGAGCTAAACTCTGCAGGACAGTAGCCATCCAGGACCGGAGTTGCCCATCCCTGACTTAGAGGATTTGACTAAACAAGATAATAAATACTTGCTTGTTTACACAACTGGTTTCACAGTCCAATTCTCATGTCCCAGCTGCCCACACCAAGCAAGATTGTCTTTTCTGGTTTTTAATTCTCCAGTAGAATTTGTATTGGTTTTAGCCCAACGCTAGAGCTCTGATCAACACCAAAACAGTGCTGCTCTGCCATGCAGAAACAGACTTAAAAAAAAAAAACATGATCAAGCAGGTCTCTTTGGGCCTCTCTTAAGCAACATCAACTCACTAGCTTCAAAGACTTCCAATTGTTATGGGATACTGCATCATTCAACACTGTATTTATGAAATAAAAATTAAGAAGAGTAAAGTCTTCTTTAGATTTATTAAACATCAAACATATGTAGCTTCCTCTCAGGGCAGAGTCTAAGTCTCTTTTTTTGATGAATAATTGACTTATCTGGATCACAAGATGCTCTGTCAAGGGCTTGATAAAACTCCCTTTTGCTGTCAAACCTCTCACAAGAGGAATCAAAAACATCAAAATGCCTACCAGAACCCATCTCTTTAATGATACTCATCAGTTCCCATTCACTCAATGTACTGATGCAGTGCCTTTCAATGTGCTCGCTGTTACATACAGTAGTTCTCAACAGGACAGCAGATATTGATAAGTGAATTTTTATTATATGTTGGTGCACTTACAAAGTCAACCATGACAAAGTCATCTTGTGGCTGCCCCCCGCTGTGGCTCGAGCTGTTTGAGTGCAGGCTGCCTTGCAAGGGAGACGAAGGAGCTGGGGATGGAGGAGGGTGCACCTGCAAACAGAGAAAAACACCTCTAAATCACAAAAAAAAAAGAAAATGAGGAGACAGTGGATGATGCAGTTGCACACTAAGGACACGTAGTGTCCAAGTGGGTTTTCTTAATTTGAAATACATAGTAACTATGGGTGTTTTTTGGTTTCAATACCATCGGGTCGTTCACCTCCAGGTCATTGGCTCTTGGAGCGAATGCAGCAAAAGGAAGATCCAGCCTGGTTGTTGTCACCTGAGTTCCACACATACACAACACATCAGAATGCATTTCCCCCTGAACATGACAGTGTTCATAATTTTTCAGTGTTCATAAAATTCATAATTTTATTCATAAAAATGCATTAAATTGATCAAGTCACAGTTACAACATTTAAAAAGATTTCTATTTCAAATAAATGGTGTTATTTTGATCTTTCTATTCAACAAAAAAATTCTGAAAAGTTCACAATTTCTACAAAAATATTAAGGAGCACAATGTTGCTCAACATTGACAATAATTACAATAAGAATTAGAAGAAATGTTTCTTAAGCACCAAATCAGCATATCTGATTGATGTTGATTTTAACGAGAACTATTTCAATATACAATAAGGTAATTTTTGTTCTGAAAGTTATTATAAATTATTAGTGTATTCTAACCTGAGTGGTGGCTTTGTTGACAAAAGCACCAACTTTCCTGGTGAAGGTGGTCTCTAGAGCATCACAGAACACAGTCTTCACCTCGCTACCACACACACACAAACATGGAATCAAATTTTGCTGAATTGATAAATGAAAAATCAGTATTGAACAGTCTGAATCTCTTCACACTCTTACCTACTACAGGATGTGGGCTGTGCCGGCTGAGGGGACTGTCCATTGGGGCATGATGGGATACGACCATGCTCAGCTGCAGTGCCATGATTAGGCTGAGCCGGCACCTGTGGGACTCCACCTTCTTTACCCGGCACAACCATCTGATTTGGAAGAGACACATACATGGCCACCTCAGTCAGGTCAGAACGACACAAACAAACCCATTTCTGTAGACAGGTGCAAGTAATTCCAAGCAGTTCTTCTACATCAGAAGGGATCAAGGGCATGAAGTTATGATAGGGAGGGTGGGGCTTCTGCATGTGTGTATGCGCTGGTGCATTGTGTGCCGTACCTGGTGAGGATGTGCACCAGCAGTAAAAGCCGTAGGATGGCACAAATCCACAGTTCCCAGGGCCGGAGTCTGATATGACAGACGAGAGCTGTACAGCTGAGACAGAGATATTCATATCACAAATAAGAGTCGAATGTCAGATTAAAAGGTCGGCTTTTAAAATCTGGTCCTGTAAAAACCTCACTGCAGAGCAGAGAGCAAGAAGGATCAGAGTAGTTGTCAGAGCAAACACACAAATGCTTCAAGTAAAACAGCAGGCAGGTCAGCTCAAGGAGAAGGCAGCAGTGATTGTGTGCTTTTGTCAGAGCAGTGCTCAAACAATCTCTTGTGTGAGTGATACTGTATAACCCTCTTAATTAAAAGGTTATACAAGGTTATGAAGGGTAAGCAGTGGAGTATAGGTTACTGGGGCAGGCCACACACACACTTTGTACTTAATCTACCAGCTGCATGCGTGTACACACACTTCTCTCACACACACATACTGGACTCACTTGCTGTGAGACGCCAAGCCCCATGAGGGGAACCTTCAGTGTGGCCATCAGAGCTGGCTTAGGTGTCTTAAAATGTGCCTGACTTACAGTACACACACACTACATGCACACAGAAAGAAAGAAAGAAAGAAAAACAAAAGCAACAACAGAAATTAAAGCACTACCACAGAAAGAGATAACGGGAAGAGAGAATCTGATTTCATGGTCACATAAATGACTTTAATGCTAGTCTTCTGCAACCTCCAATACTACACAAGCATTATGTGGAAAGGTAAATACTGCAGCAAGTACACCAAGACCAATGTTATTTTAGTATAATTTGTATACTATTTTAGAATTTATTAATATTTTGAAACAGCATTTATTCCTATATTTTCTTTTCTCATTTAAATTTTAGTAGTTGTGTGCTTTTGTCATGTTATTTTAGTTTTTAAAAATATTTATATTTAGCTTTTATATATATATATATATATATATATTATTTTTGTATTTTATTTCGCCTTTACTTCAGCTTTATTTCATTTAGTGAATTTAGTTAACAAAAACAACACTGTTCAAGACAGCTGACTAACCAAAAGCTGAGAAAAATAATGAAAAGAAAACACCTAAGAATAGGGAAGATATGTACTGTACTAAGCAGCAATCTCAGGTCATATTCATGGCTGCAGGAAAGCAAAAACCAAAATCACATATAAAGAATGAGACCTGTTCATCAGGGAACAGTTGAAAGAGACTCATGAATGAAAACAGCTTATCCAAGGTTAACATTTAATCTCTTAATGGCAGGCTGCACTGCACCTGTACTGAAGTCTGACCTGTGCAAGGAAGGTGGTGAAGGGTTATTTTTAATGGGATAGATGGATCGCTGATAGTGACGGCATTACCTGTGATGGTGGGGAGGTGGAAAAGGACGTGGTGCACACCTCCTGAGAGTCTTCTATTCCTGCATAAGTCCCTCCCTCATCTTCTCCAGGCGTTCTTAGAGAGAAAAAAGAACAGGCCAAAGGATAAGAAAGCAGAGTTGAATGAGCTTGAATACCTGTACTATCAGTATGTAAAAGTGAACTTCTGGTATTAAGGGTTTAATTCCAACTCATCTTGAACGCTGAAAATAAAAAACACTTAAAAATTGTATGTCTTTCTACTATACAATAAAAAAAATGAAATATTAATTTTTACTATAAATGACAATTCAGGTGATATTCTACACTGCGATATATGCAACAGTTTGGGGTTGGTAAGATTTTTTTAAATGTTCTGGAAAGAAGTCTCTTATGCTCACCAAGGCCACATTTATTTGATCAAAAATACAGTTAAAACAGTAAGAATGTGAAATATTATTACAATTTAAAATAATTATTTTCTATTTTATGATGTAATTTATTCCTGTGATGGCAAAGCTGAATTTCCATTACTCCAGTGTCGTATGATCCTTCAGAAATCATTCTAATATGCCGATTTGGTGCTAAAGAAACAATTCATATTATTATCAATGTTGAAAAGTTTAGTATTTTTTTGTAGGAACTGTGATATATATTTTTTCCATAATTCTTTGATGAACAGAAAGAACAGCATTTATTCGAAATAGAAATGTTTTGTATAGGGATGTAACGATTCACTCATCTCATGATGCAATATGATTCACGGTACTGATTTCACAATACGATTTTCTTTAACAAAATTAGATTTAAGACAAATTCTAAATGAAAAGGTGTCCTTTTATTATTTCTCAGATAAAATGCTACACATTTCATGTCAAACAAGTGATAACAAAACTAAACTGTATTTTTAAAACAAATCCCAGATCAAATAAACAAAAAATAAAAATACAAGAAATCTCCTCATATAAACAAACTAAGGCTTTGTCTGTGCTCTTTCCATTTAAAAGTATAGGCAACCACTGCATTTTAATCACAATCCAAACAAAGATGCTGCATACATGCAGCATGAGCAGTTTGTGACTTAAATTTGACTGAATAATTTTGAAATTTAAAGCAAAAACAGAATGGTCTGACTTTAGCTTTGTGAAATTATGTGCAAACCCTAGTTATGCCCTGGTATAGTAAATATTGACTTGTTGATAATGTATCAATCTTGACACAGAACAGGTGTCAGCTGACTGCTTTGTCCTGTCTGTGAAGGGGAACCGTGTGGGCTTACTTTTCATTCATTTCCAAACACCACGTCTCCAGCTCCATGGAGTCTCCCTGCATGGGTAAACGCAATTTCTTAATACTCAAGTAAACGTCTTTTTATTAAGTTAGGCATTTTAAACATTTTGTTTCTTTTTATATTTTTGTCATGATACTGTTATTATATTGATAGTGAACTAAAAGAAAGACTAGACCTCTGAGGTTTTGAGGGAGATCTCCACACACATGGATCGGCCGATCCCAGGCAGCTGCCCAGCAAGAGCTTTTTTTGCCTCATGAGTCACCTCTGGGATGTCTTTTATTGCCAAATTAAACTGAATAAAAACATGAAAACAACCAGACAGGCAGATCTCACATTAGTTATGACGAAGAAAACAGGACCATTGTATGTGAAGCGTCCTGGATGTGTCTTACCCAGTCTGAACCTGTCGGTGATGAAGATGAGCAAGTGCTGATCTTCTCTCCAAGCCGGGCTTGAACTATAATTTGCACTGTCTGAAAGACACACAGAAAAAGCAAAGGATATCATCACCCTGTTGCCTGGCTGGGATACCAGATTTCATGAATGCAACAATACCCTTAGCACTGCAGTGTTTAATGCAATCACCTTCAAGGCAAAGAATTTGATGAATTTATCCAAGTCCTTCCTGTCCTGTGAGCTCAGATCACTATCCATTGTCGCACAAGCCTAAGAGATACAAATTAAAGACACTTTCCTCAGTGAACAGTAAAAAAGCTGATATAAACACAATAATTAAAAAGGTACATAATACACATATCTGAAAGTCAGGTCAATTAGTAGGATACCATGGAGGAAAAAGCCCTCATTATAAAATAATAATGTTCATTTACATTTATTCATATTTTAAAATCGTAACATATTTAGATATAACATGTACAAGATGAATATCATTAATGTAAAATACTGCATCACCTATTCTATCTAAAATTGTACTTCGTCAACTTAGTTGAATATTTGAATGACCGATGACAGACAAACAAACTAACAAAACAGGTTTTAATGAATAGCGAAGATGTCTGAAATGTAGATCTAACTCATGGAATTACTGAATAATAACCACCACTGTTATAACATATTACATTATTATAATATAATAACAATAACTTGCCACTAGGGCCTTCTGTGCCAATTCTGGGGGCAGAACTAAATTTAACTTCAAAATTTTTTTTTTTTTACAGATGTAAGAACATTAATTGGTCCACAAATCACTAATGAACAAATAGACACAAAATCTTTGTGATGCATGCAGTAGACTTTTGGCAGAGTATTCAACATATTACAATGTCATAGATCACTATTTTCCAAATATGCAAAATTAGATCAGTTAACCTCAAAACTGTTTCGACTAACGAAATCTTAAAAACGTTGATATTCAAATGAAAAGACAAAATGAAGAAGAGCAAAGCCATTCATCAAAAGTGTTGAGATGAGATTGTGAGCCTTCTATGATCAAGAGAAAAAATAAGGTGTGGGACATCTTGTTTCATCCAACTCTAATAATAGTAATAATTAACGAATTTACTGGTGTCTTGGTGTCATTAATACTGTCGCGTCTCTACGGCAGCTCGCCTCCACGCATTTAAACATGTACTCAATAAAAAACAACACAACACTAAGACACCTTCATAACAATCAATGTCACATGACAGCTGCCAGTTCATCCGACTCGAGATTTGAAAACAGTAGACCTGCCATTTGTTTCTCACAGCCAAACATCTCAAATAGTTTACAATCATCTGTATGTGTGTGCAGCCAATGCTAACTCCTTAGCAAAACACGCGCACATACTTACAGCTCATCACAGAGTGGAGACTGAACTGTTAACACGTAGAGTTTGACGTTACGTCAGCAAAACAGCGTGGCTGGTTGCGTGAAATGATCAAATACAGACTAATCGATCCTGTATTTTCAATTAATCACATCGTAGCACCACAGCGTCACACAATGACAGGCTCCCCGTTTTTGTTTATTTTGCTTGTTTGGCTAGGGCAGGAATGACGTGTTGCCTGTAACGTTACCGATTCAACCACGCCACTTTCGTTGTTTTTTTAAATATGGTTAAAGGACTGTATGCAATTGTGATATAATAAAGTTATATGCACATATGTGTTATATTATTACATGCATCCGCCTGCTCTTAGTTTATTCTTTAAAACAACCAATACAAATATCGAAAGTGCAGCCCCTGAACAGGAAGTTTGTTACGTGAATGACGTCACATCTCAATGTCGGCGTACACAAACAATCGCCAGTGCAGGTAACGATTAACTAATTTTCAGTCAGTCTGAATGTTTCCACTGCCGTTGTGTTTATCAAATTTGTTCCCTATGAGATAATTTAATTCAAGAGTTGGTTGCGTTCGGTTTTGTGTAAAATACTGTGCTGAGCCGACAAACTAGATCATATAACCAGCTCAGTTTAATTGCGATAAGTAACGTTACTGTAATAAAAAATATGTGATTAGGTCAAGATAAGCTTTAAACTTGTGTTGTAAGCAGTCACACATTGAAGAAATCAGTGTAGCGGTGCATGCAGAAACATTTAGCACAAATATACCACTATATTTTGTGGTTTATTCCCTTGCCATTAAATTACAGAAACTAAGAAACGCTGATCTGTGGGTGTTCCTAATACTATGGCTGAGGGCGTGACAGCAATTTTGACATGTTTCTCTCTTCTGGCTAACGTAATTAATCTCTAAATTTCTCTTCTTCTTCTGGAAAGTCACAGAAATGCTATTGTGGATTTTTTTGTTCAAATAGGAAGGCAAAAATTATATTTGTTGTGGTTTTCGTCCACCACTATAGAAGTTTACCCAACTATGACGATTTCCGCTTCTGAGAAGCCCAGAAATGTGAAAATTTGGATGTTTATTTATTTAGTCATTTAGCAGATGCTTTTATCCAAAGCGACTTACAAATGAGGACAACAGAAGCAATCAATTGTAGTAATTAAAACAACTAAAAACAGATCCAAAACTAAAAGCTAAAACTTTATAAGTACTACTTATACACATTTAAAAAATAAAGAGAATAAATAAAAATGACAAAGGCATACAACAAAATTTCAAAACTTAACATATAAATGAAAAACAAAAAATAAAGCTAAAAACAATTCAAAATATTTGCTAATGCTTACATGCTAAAAAAAAAAAATGTACACATAATAAGAAATGGTTATAAAAACTAAAACAGAAGTGAAACAAGTAATAGGAAAGAGGAGAAATAAAAAGCGATACTTATCCTTTGCCGGTGTCCCTGCCTGGATGTATCATGTTTTAGTTATTGACATGGTATTACATGACAATAGCTGACATTCACATGTGTCATTTGTCCACAGGTCCTCCTGAGTGTGTGGAATGGCAATCTCTATTGCAATCCTAGACTGTGACCTGCTGCTGCATGGCCGTGGGCACAAAACACTTGATCGATTTGATATCGAGACAGTGTCAGATGAATTCCTGCTGACAACATTTGGCTTCCCACGTGAGTTCATTTATTATCTGGTGGAACTGCTAAAGGACAGCTTGTTGAGACGGACACAGAGGTCACGAGCCATCAGCCCAGATGTTCAGATACTCGCAGCCCTGGGATTCTACACAACCGGGTCCTTCCAGAGCAAGATGGGAGATGCGATCGGCATCAGCCAGGCCTCCATGAGTCGTTGTGTTTCTAACGTCACTAAAGCTCTGATTGAGAAAGCACCAGAGTTTATTGGCTTCACTAGGGATGAGGCCACCAGGCAGCAGTCTAAAGAGGAGTTTTACCGAATAGCAGGAATTCCTAATGTCATGGGAGTAGTGGACTGTGCGCATATAGCCATTAAAGCTCCCAATGCAGACGACTCTTCCTATGTAAATAAAAAAGGATTTCACTCAATCAATTGCCAATTAGTATGTGATGCCAGAGGACTGCTGCTGAGCGCTGAGACACATTGGCCAGGTAGTCTGACAGATAGAACTGTCTTTCAGCAGTCCAGTGTGGCAAAGCTTTTTGAAGAGCAAGACAATGATGAAGGTTGGCTTTTAGGTGAGACCCATAGTTTGGTTGCCATAGTGACTTTTTCTTGACATTGCCAAAGTATCCTGTGAAAATGTCAGTGTATTTTCTGTCTCTTGTCTCCAGGTGACAACCGTTACCCTCTGAAGAAGTGGCTGATGACTCCAGTCCAGAGTCCAGAGTCCCCTGCTGAGTACCGCTATAACCTGGCCCACACAACGACGCATGAGATTGTGGACCGCACATTCAGAGCCATTCAGACACGTTTCCGGTGTCTGGATGGGGCAAAAGGTTACCTGCAGTATTCTCCAGAGAAATGCTCCCATATCATCCAGGCCTGCTGTGTACTACATAACATTTCCCTGCAGTCTGGCCTTGATGCCTGGACTTTTGAGAGGACTGAGGCCACGGACCAATCAGGGGAGAATATCGATCTCAATGACACTGTCGACCCAGAGGCTCTCAGAGTTCGACAGGAACTCATCCAAAATCATTTCAGTTAGGATGGAATTCACCATTTAATTGTTTTTAAGATACACATGGCTATTGTTTTCCTGTATGCAAATATTTTGTTAAGGGATAGTCCCTCCCCCAAAAAACATTCTGTCATTTAATCATAATTTAACATTTTACTTGTTTCAAACTCATCTTTCTTCTGTTGAAAACAAAAGATGATATTTTGAAGTTTTAATTAATTTCATGGTATGGACAAAAGTAAGTAAACAAATAAATAAAAAACACTGAGATGTTTCTCAAAATATCATCTTAATATTCTACAGGAAAAAAGAAAGTCAAAGTTTTAGAATGACTAAGTGAATGATGATGGAATTTTTGGGTGAATTATCCCTTTATGAATGTGCTTTTTGTCACTCTTTATTGGTCCTGTGAACACAAAAAACTGCAAAGCTGGAGTTTTTTATTATTATTATTATTTACAAGTAATTTAGGAATGAGATATGGAAATGGACAGGGTATTTTATTACAAATTATTGTAATTTTAATTTAGTTCTTTTTGATATTTTACTCAAAACTTATAGACCTGTAAAATGTTGACATCAATAAATAACACCTCAACAATAGTTGTCTGTTTATATCTCTGTCACGTGCATTATTTGTTTCAAAACTTAAGTTCCACAGGAACAAATGACTTTCCAAACAAGGCAAACCTCTTGCTAGTTATTTATGAACTCAGCTTCATTCACATTGTTCATTTTGTTTAGTTCATATCATCAGAAACACTCACCTACTAAAAGAGTATCTTCCTCAAAGATTTCTACTGATGCTCTGAAATCTGAGTAAAAGATATATCAGGGCAAAAATAAAAAGCTTTAATTTTAGCCCGGGTTAATGAATGGTTCTGTCTCTGCTGCTCCGGAGGCTCGACTGTCAAAGGCGATAAATCAGCTGGTTGTTTAATGAGTCTCGCAGTCGAGCCCGGTGATGAATGTGGAAAAAGAAGAGAGACCACGCTGAACAATGACGTGCTGTCCGCGGTGTCTCTCTCTTTCTCTCTCTCTCTGTGTGTGTGTGTGTGTGTGTGTGTGTGTGTGTGTGCGTGCGCTATTTCCAAAGGCGATAAATCAGCTGGTTGTTTAATGAGTCTCGCAGTCGAGCCCGGTGATGAATGTGGAAAAAGAAGAGAGACCACGCTGAACAATGACGTGCTGTCCGCGGTGTCTCTCTCTTTCTCTCTCTCTCTCTCTCTCTCTGTGTGTGTGTGTGCGTGCGCGCGCGCTATTTCTAATGTCATTACTAAAAGCAGACAGACGGAGAGCGCAGAAGCAGCAGAGGCTGCAGCATATGAACTCCACAAGAGTCTCCACTGGATCACAATGATATAGATTCAAGCACTGTTCGCACTTTTAACAACTTTCGGGAGCAAAGTAAGTATTTCTGGGGAACTTTGTTTCATTCTTTAACACAGTGCCTTGTATTTTAACTTTGTATTATATTCAGAGTTGCATCTCTGCTCTGCCGCATTTATCTATCATCTTTAGCGTAGCGGAAGTGCAGTCAAGCTTAACCCGAGAAAAAGCACCTGTTACTAACAGTAGCTCTGGTCATTTATTTGGCCTGCCTCTACGAGTGTTATTATAATATTCAGATATAATATTATCCACAGTGATCATGTCAGAATCTGTACGGAAGATGTTGAGGGCGAAGCTTGTGGTGCTGGGAAGAGATAACTGTGGGAAGACAGGTAACCCTGCAGTGTTTTTTTCGGGGTTAATGACTATTGGTTGGTCTTGATGACTCTAATTGATCTGTTTTTCTCTTTTGAACTACAGCTCTGTGTGTCAGATTCATCACCAGACGTTTCATTGGAGAGTATGAACATAAAAGGGGTAACACAAGTGAAATACATACACAGTGGTGCTGTAAAGCTGTTTTCACGCTCTAAATATTTGTGTATCTGCATTTTATTCATAAATTCATAAGTAATCTGAATCATGTGACATGCCATATATGTTTTGTGTCTCTTAGAGGTCACCTACAGGTGTCAGAAAATCGTGGACAAGGAGGCGATTGAACTGGCGATTTTAGACACAGTTAATAAGGTACAGAATGCTTGAGATTAGATCTGACAGTATGTTGTGTTGTATTTTGACTCTTACTTATTAAGGGACCATCTCTTTGTCACTGTGCATCTGCCGCTGTGCTGTTTTACAGGCCTATTGTTCCGTAGACTCAAAGAAAGACAGCAGGATGATCTTGCCTGGTCAAACAGCTGATGAGACACAGGACTCTCTGAACCATTCCATTCCTTTCATGTGTGCTGTGCTGAATCTCAGGCTGGTGGAGCAGCTTTAACAGCCCGCCTGCCATTGATCGTGTTACACAGTAGAGCAGCACTTGTTAATTCATAGGATTAGGCTGAAGCTTTACCGTCTGTGTAAATGCAGTAGAGTAGCGGTTCTGATATTTTGGAGGACTTTGATACACCCAGTTTAGGTCATGGAGCCTGTACAAATGAGCTGATGATATAAATCAGGTGTGGGTAAAAGGATAGTTTATCAAAAATGAGAATTGTCATAATTTACTGACCATCATGCCGATCCAGACCTGTATGACTTTCTTTCCTTTGCAGAACACAAAAGAATGTTTCTGTCATTACATTGAAACACTGAATGTCAGTGGGGTTTCATTTTTGGGAAAACTATCCTTTTAAATAATGGAGACATCCAAAATGTGCAGTGCTTCGACTTGAGATCCAGGATTGAGAACCACTGAATTTGAGAAGCAGGAGGTTTTGGGTCTATGGATTTAATTTACATCCTTTGTGCTCCTGAATTGCCTTAAGAATCACATCTGTGAAAGTCTAGATGCACGTCACCTCCATCCTCACAGATCCGCACACATTCACTCACGTGCAGAAGATGAAAAACTACTCGAATGTGTGAATCTGTTTGTTTTCAGGAATGTGCAGGACCTGCTGCGTCGTCTCTGGAGAGTTCCATTAAATGGGGTGATGGGTTTCTCATTATGTACTCTGTGACGGATCGCAGCAGTTTTGAGGCTGTGTCGCGCCTGAAGAGACTGATTGACCACATTAAACAAACGCTTGGTAAGACCATTCAGATTGTGGATGTGAATGATCACAAACTAAGGAGAAATAGTAACACTGTTCTGCTATTAGCGCTACTGCTAGCAGTCTTGTTTATGTATATGGTCCCTCCAACTAGCAAATAGCGCTGTTATCCATCAGTGTGACTCAGCCTGCCTTAATTGGTCTCAGTTCAGAGATTTCACCTCAGGCATGAACTCTTAATATAGTACACTGCAGCGTGTGAGTGTAAGTTTGTAAATGACAGATAGATTACAACGCTGCAATATTTTATTATACCATCCATCTCCAGGTACTGTCATTTTAATGGCAGTCTGTTCTTTGTCAGAGCTACAGCATCCATTACATCATTCTGTGTCTTTGTGTGTGTGTATATGTCTTATTCCAGGTATTCCAACAGTCATCGTTGCCAACAAATGCGACGTGGAGAATGGCCGAGTGGTGAGGACAGATGAGGGACAGGCATTAGCCTCAGACCTGAGGTCAGTGCGCTTTATTTCTACTGATAACTGCACAGTTGTAAGTGATAGTATGAAGTACATACAAATATAGGTTAATTTAACTGAATTGTTTAACCCGAAGATGCATAAAGGAGGTCAGATTTACCCAGTAGGGTGTGGTTTTTGTAATATTTTTTCCATTGCAGTTTTCATTATTATTATTAATAATAATATTTATTATTGTTATTATTTTTGATCAAATTATAAAAATTAAATAAAGAAATACCACTATAATACTATTGAACTGTAAACTATTTCATAATAATAATAAATTGACTTTATATAAAATAATAATAATAATAGTTATTTATATAACAACAGTACAATTACAATATTTATTATATCAATATTTACTCAAATGTATGTGTTTTTTTCTTTGCTCTGGTTAAAATATAAAGCTTTTATTTTGGCAGGAAAGCACAGGGGAACTTTTCTTTTGAAATGCTTCGCTTTTTTTGACAACAGATTTATAAAGCATTCTCATTACAAACTTTGGAAGATGTTTGGTGCATGTTGCATTTTCAAATGCATGTTATAAGCTCAAATAAATGTATACACTACATATAAATCTTGTATTTAAGCATCAGCCATGCAATTTTTATGTTTTGGACATAAGTTCTTTGAAAAAAAACAAACAAATATTTTTTTTGGTCAAAATATTTTGTTAATATTTCATAATATTATCAGTCAATATTAGTGAATATTATTTATTTATAATGTATTCATATATTTAATTATAATAATTACAATTCATTTTTTACACTCCATTATCCATCCTAATAAACATTTTTATTTCATCACTACCAGTCAAAAGTTTGAACGCACTTAGATGATCTTCAGTTTGATTTAAATGGTTTCATTACATCATTTAATATTTGAATTCGAAGGTTTTGCTGTGTGTGCTAAAGGTAGGGTTTCACTGGTGATGTAGGTGCAGTTTCTTTGAGCTGTCTGTAGCAGACGACGCTTCAGCAGTGGAGGCCGTGTTCGGGCAGCTGGTGCGTGAAGTGCGTCAGGAGTTCCTGCGCCACCTGCTGGCTATGGACAAGCGCTCACGAATGCTGCAGATGAGACATGCACTCAAAAACAAACTCACACGGAGTAAAACCATGCAGTGGTGATGACCAGAAAGACTAAACGCAGTTCAGACATGACAACCATAGTGCTGTATCCTGTAACCTTTTAGAGAACAACAAGTGCCTTTTGGATTTCCAAATACTGTCATGGACATTGTCACCTGTGTGTCCAGCAAAAAGTAGTGTGTTTTTTAAAGGTGCAGTGTGCAATTTATGTGCCACTGGCAGGTACAAACTGAATTGTGAAAATAATGACTTAAAACACTCCCTTCCATTGTTTGGACAAACAGGTAGTCTCACCTCACACTTTTGCAGCTGATTGAGCCAGAAGCTGACATGTTTGATAAACGGTTGATAATCTACAGCAGGAGTGTCAGACTCAATTCCTGGAGCGCTGGAGCCCTGCAGAGTTTAGATTCAACCCTAATTAAACATGTTTCATAAAACAAGTTTACCAAATAAGCCAGGCTTATTTCAGTTAGTCTGACTTATTTTCACTTGATTTGGTTTCATAAAGCAAACTTACCATAGCTCAAGCTCAGTCACTCTGGTAACTTATGCTGGGAACTAACCTGGTACGGGGCAGGCTAAACTGAGCTCCTCTAACACTGACCAATAGGAACGCATTGATATTATGGCGCTGACTTTCTCACAATTATGTGACTTTATTATCAGTCCAAAAATAAAAGTATACAGAAAATGCAACTTAAATAAATCAAATAAATAAAAATATATAGGCTACAACTGACTGTATTTAATGTATTATGCCCAAGATTTAATGATTTTGTTTTAAGATATTTGAAAACATTTTAACATGCTGCTACATGCGCATTCAGTTGATCAGCAGTTTATAGTCATGCAGCCTTTCTCTCTGGTTTTATGATGGCTGTACCTTATGGTTATTAGTAGAACATTCAAACATTACAATATAAAATTGCTCTTTAAAGCATTAAAAACACTCAATTAAAAGTTAAAATCACAAAATTAAAAATGAAAATAAATAATATAAAACAGACTATATTTTATGTGTTAAGAGGAATACACCAACTCATTTGAGCTAGTAATTAGGGCTGTATTAGCTATCTTACATTGATTTACAGTTACTGCTATCATAAAAATACACATATGTAGGATTAAAATTCTACATGTCACATTTAATGTCCAACAACAAATATTTTAGCAGAATGCATATTTTATTCAGAATTATTGCGCTATTATTCTATTGCGTTCCATCTGTTTAGCGGGCAGCAGCTCTCGTTCACTCACGTAAGCCTCGCCCGCTCCTGACAGCAAAATGGATTTGCATGACTTTCTAACATTTACAGATGAAAAATATACCTGTGACGTGTCAGTTATGCACTGAGGAAAACACAATGTCTCAAATGCAGTAAACATCACACACATTCGCTGTTTGCCGTGGTGGATCGATTTGATCCATGACCGACATTAAGGGCTGCTTAAGAATAAGCGAGCACATCAAATTATCCTGACTCATTGAACCTGGATCGAATTAGTGAGATTGCGTGAACTTAAATTGTCGTTTATGAAACCGCTTTAGTCCCGATTGATTTGTTAGGTTATTTCAAGTCAGGTTTTGGACTTTAATCCCCGCTTTTCTTAGCGTCCAACTAATCAAGTCCTTCTGACTTGTTTGAAAACTACATGGTATGAGCAGGGCCGCATTAAGACCTTACTGGGCCCCGGGGCTATGACTTACTGCAGGGCCCCCTATTACAAAATTATATACAAATATAATATATATATAGCTTTAAATAGGATTTTTGTCCCATCAAAATTTTGATGCATTGAAATTTCATAATTCTTGTTACATGAATTCTGCCCCATTGCTTGATGTCCCTGGACAGTTAAATTTGTTTATAAACCACAATGCTTAAAATGCGTTTAAATGAAAACCTTAACCTACATCATGCCGCATAAAACGATTGATATATTTCTACCGGTTTATCTTTCAACCCATACGCGAATATACTTTGTCCAAACACAAAAAGCAATATACATCCATCAAGTTGTTAACTTCTTAATCAAACTAACCTAAAATCTGTGAGGACGATGACGCTGTGATTTTATCTGCTCCATGTGCCCGGTCCACTTGCTGTTTCACAACTTCCACTCCATCATCAGCTTTAGTAAAATAACCTGATAGCTGGGGATTTTACTGACTCACATCGGCGCTACCCATGACCAGTCAATCTACTCCACAGCCAATCACGGGCCCCCTCCTTGTCCGAGCCCCGCCTAGCCCAATGGTTAATGCGGCCCTGGGTATGAGTGTTGGAACAAAACTCTGCAGGGCTTTGGCCCTCAAGGAATTGAGTTACACCACCCTGCTCTACAGTAAGTCAACCACTCCGTGCACCTTTAAACCAGTTTAAGAGAAAGTACTTTAACATTTAAAATGGATCCAATTGACCACTTGAGCTCAGTTTACATCTTCCTTTGCATCAATTTCACTGTAAATGATGTCATTCCAATGCAACATTCATTGTGTATTTAAACTGAATTTTTGTGTGAGAAGTCATAAATGCTTATTTATAGGCACCAAATTCTTTCTGATAGACTGAGCTTGTCTAATATTAAGTCAAGCTTAAAATGGCAGATGACGCACCATGTGGCAGATGATCTGTCTTCCGACTTGGTATTTTGATGCTCTTTTGATCCAATTTCATTTTCATGTGCCTCTATTAGACTGAAATATCATGAGGGCACAGAACCAAATATATGGTGTTTTTCTATTTTACACAGCTGTTTTTAGACTTGCTGCGTCCTGGCAGTGTGCACAATCCACTCTGTGGAGTAAATTGTTTCCAAAATGGGTTACAGGACATTGTATCGTAATGCTAAATGTTGTATTATTCATTTTGTTGTTTAAATGTTAATTAGAATGACAGTGTTAATATTCATTTGCTGCTTTAATGTAAAGCAGATCTTAGAGAGAAAACAGACTGTTTCATTTACAATTTTATTTAGCAAAAATGGTAAAAATAAATAAATACAAATTGATCAAATGCTCCAGTAATATCCAGCCTCCTCAACAGAAAGAATTCATTAAGTTATATATTCAAATAACTTACACGTGGACTTCTATGAGAAAAGGTAAACGGACATCAGGCAACACACAAGATTAAGAAACAAAACATACAAAATGTAGAAAAGTAAAATGAAACAAAAGAGCAATACACATCCCTTTTAAAAACTATTAGGAAAGAATCTAGACAATTTTTTTTTTTTTTTTTTTACAACGAACTGAAGTAAATTGTGTTCTTAATTTATAGTTAAGGACATTAGATTAAGCACTGATATTTTCACATTGCAATAATCTATCCTTGGTTTTACTTAAGGGTTTCATCAACCTGAATGAGGTAACAGCATGAGGTGTAAGAACGTGAATCTTCAAAAACATTACTATGCGTATCTTGAAAACATGAACAAAAGCCTGAGCTCTCGGTAAACACTATTAATATCTGAAGAGATCAGATTTCACACACTTCAGGACACAATACCCAATTCTCATGTGTAAGGAACATGAATGAGGAGACACAGTAGACTCCCATCTATCTCATCAGAGAACATCTGTCACCGAAGCACTGTCAGTCCTACTAACCACATCTGGCCTCAGGATTCTTGGCCCCTAAAGGACGGGAGACGACATTTGCAAATGTCACATCTGATGAGCATTTACGTAAGGGCTATTTTCCGTTTGCTTTCTTTTTTCAATGCACTAGAAAATCTGACATACCATTAAACCACCAAACAGAACGCAGCTTCTTTACGTCACTTTGGAATTTTCGCAATTGTGATGAAATATGTTTTAGTATTAACTTCTATTAGACAATACTTCTGCGATTGTTGAAAACTCTTGAAAACGCAGATGCGATATAAAATGAGGGGCAGATACCCAGATCATCAGCCTGGGATGGAATGGTTTAACTAAAAGTAAAGTGTTTTCATAAACATACCAGCAAATTATTTTATGTTTTGATATAAGGTGTAAGAGTTCTTATGAGTAGTGGTCAGACTCACTATAGGCAGCGCAGGCACTGTCCTCACTAACACAACCTGAATGATCACACACTGGATGATAAAGTAGGTTGTTTCCGAAAAGGGAAAAATACACACACGTTTTGCTGACAACTGACTCTAAGACACCGACAAGTCATAACACTACGATGAAACAGCCTAACATAGTCTATAGAACTTAAGGCAACCAATACACAGAGGCTACAGCAGGCCAGAGCTGCATGTTCAGCATTGAAAACACTCACAAACCTGAAATGAAGATATAAACACTGTAGATATTTCTGTCTTTTATCAAAAGTGTGTTTGACACCACTGTGTTTCTGGATTATTTCTTGTGCTTTTTTCTTTAAAAAAAAAACACTGGAAGTGTCATCTTGGCACATGATACAGTGTTCAAGCTACGGCTGCTGTATCTCAGATGTTAGAACTGGTCTGGTGTGTTTGTCTGTGCTTGTTCATGTGCAGTCACACACTGTGAAATGCACAGCGGTGAGAGAGCGTCGAGAGCTCTGATACGGTTAGAGAAATGCAAAAGGTAAATAAAGCGATAACAGAAGAGCCCCTAAGAGACAATGGTAAAGTAGTTGCGCTAGGCACGTATAACGTACGCCTGCTGTGTTGTGCTTTTGGAGAGGTTTACAGAACAGTGTAGTAAAGTGTGTTAAAATGATACAGAACAGAAGCCCTTAAATTGGCCCCTAAAACGTAACGTTACTGGCATAGCGGTTTTATGGGATATTTCTGACTGCACGATTCCTCCTAAGTCGTTGGACAAGGCATGAGACCCCTGCTACAGTCTGGGTAAATAAAAAATCCTCTGAATGTGGAAATGGAGTGAGAGTGATGTGAGAGACATCTCAAATCATTCCCTTCTGTGACGGCGCCTGAACTGCGCTCTCAATAAATCACATCTGTTCAGTAGATAAGGCATGGTCAGAATTTACCTCACAGACACTTCAGGACTGACACTACAAATACTATTCTACTACTCTTAAATATCGATCTAATGTTCCGAGTAACGTAAAAGAACAGTTCCCTGTGGCATCGATTATTTGGCAGAACAGAATTACGGAATATTTTTGTAAGAAAGAAGAAAATGATAAATAAGGTCATATGTAAAAAAGAGCAAAACATATTTACAGAAATGTTTCGGTTTTTCAAAAACACCACAAAATAGACAAATGCAAATGAAAATAGTTAAACCTCCAGAAGAACGCCTGGAAGACCTGTATTTCTGTCAGAGTGTGACGAACCTGTTTTTGCGCTCCATGTTCTGTCCTGGAGACACAACAACTGAAAACTAGACGAAACAACTGCACCTCGGTTGCGTTTCACAGACAAAACGGACACTGAACTCCTCAACACGTCATATCTTATGTCTTAGATCAGAGCTACAGGACCTGATAGGAAGCTGCACTACTCATCTAGCAGGACGAGACCTTCACCCCGATCCAGCCTTCAGAAGCTTTCCCACTCAGAGGTGCTATGGCAACTGTATCAGGCACACAATGGTGTGATATCTTTAAATTTTATTACTCTTTTCTATATCATTATTCTTTGTAGAAATCTTTTCGGTGTGCATACGTGAGCATACACATTGCTGGTACTTTAGGAACCTCCTTCCTGCATGTAGTAAATGGCACTATGGATTTTCTTTCCCTCATAGATACAAGAGATGAAACAACAACACGAAACAACAACACTGTTAACTGGCACGCTTTGGGCCCCAACTGTGGCGGGGTAGTCGATGCTATTTCACCCCCTCTGTCACTTCTGTAAGGGGCACGATTGAGCCGAGAAGGGCCTGCGGGATGACGCTGAGGTCTTTGTTGTTTTTATGTTTTTTTGTATTCTCCTCCCCTGTGGACACAGTTCCATTGGTACTGAGAACCGCCTGGTTGCTGCTGTTATTGCTGAAGGCTGCGGCATTTATATTTGTGGGTTCGCCCTTGATTCTGGACGTGCTGTTGATTTGAGCGCTCTCCCCTCTGCCCTCATCGCTCTTTGCACCGGCAGCCTCTGGGTTGTTATTCATGGCGATCTGCTTTAAGGTATCGCTCGTGTTTGTGAGGGTGCTAATTATCACCGTCGCTTCTGAGGAGCTTGTTGGGGTATTTGTGTTGTTGTTTGTGTCTGTGGTGACCGCACTGGATTTGGAAGCTCCATTGTGGGAGGTTTCTCCATTAGCCATGACCTCAGGGCAGATGAAGGGAGACAGCTGGATCCCTCTGATCAGACGCACCAGCCCTCTCGTTTTCTCAAGCGAAGCCTCCATCTCTTTCTGCTGGGCCAGTACGCTGTTCTTGCTGTCCACACAGCTCTGTGCAGGGAGAGAGGACACAGTGCTGCTGACTCATACAACCAAAATCTCCTCATTATATAGTTAGTGGCCTTCTGGAGGTACGGAATAATAAATGAATGCATCGGTTTGATTTGTAATTTCGGTGGTATGACTCATCGTGCAGACAAAATTGGATATGAACTTAAGAATTCTCTTACCGTTATAGAGTCGCTGAGCTGTCCGAATCTGTGCTCCAGCGTCTCTCTTTCCTGCTGCAGCTCTGTGCTCCATCTCTTCAGACGATCTTTCTCTCCCTCTTTAGCTGCAGGGAAATTAGTGTACATTTAAATCTCCTAAGAATGCACAGGTGGGGTTCTGGAAGTAAAAATCTCATTCATTTTCCCCATAGAGAAATCAATTTTTATAAATTCTGTAGAACCCTTTTGAAACGGATCTACCATGAGAGCAGAGGTTATTAATCAATTGTGGAGGCTTTTGTTGGAGCCAACAGTCAGCATTTAAGGCACTTATGACACATTTAAGATGCATGTTCTTGAAAGAGCTAGGTTTTCTAGCATATTTACTTCAAGTGCTTCAATCTTCATATTTACAAGTAGGCTACTTTCTACGGTGCCTGTGTTTGTGTTTTTATTGCAACATTTTGAATCTTTAAAGGGAGGTATGAAAGTCAAAGCAAATCGAACACTGAGACAAATATAATAAAATTAATAAAAAAAATCAAATACCATTATCATCTTGACAAGATATAGC